ATATACTCTCAATGTACAATTCAGTTTCACTAACACCATCTACCGATATAAGGACGGTATTGCAATGGGATCTCCCTTGGCTCGATTATTAGCAGACTGTTTTATGGTTAGCTTTGAGAATGGATCAATAAAGTCGTCTGTTCATGATCTAAAACTGTATAAACGGTACGTAGATGACATTTTCATCACTTGCGACAATACCTACCACTCCAGTCAATTGCTGCAAATACCTATCAGCAGCTATCTATCGAAAAGATTTACTCTAGAAATGCAGAGCGAGTCCGAAATTCCGTTTCTGAATGTGGAAGACAACCTGACGAAACACTAAGAAGATCAACCCATAGAAAAGCTGTTTGAAATTATCGACTAACAATTTTTCACAGTTTTTGCGCCGGTTGAACGACAACGAAATATAATTTTTTTCATTACAGTTTGATTCCACAGTGTATTTGTGGTACAAGTATGGAATTTTCAGCATGGATATCGGTAACCCAAATTTTGCAAGCCGACCATAGATATCAGGTGTGCGTCCTTAGATCTGACGTATATGTAGTTCTGACACCCTGGAAGCAGAACTGGATATCCTGAAAGAAACCTTCATCTAAGATATATGATATATATATATATATATAAGATATATATTTGGACTTCAAGGGCGACGTAATATGCGATATTCCTAAGAGAAGAACTTCAGCATCTTTGAGAAGAATATTCTTCGCTGCAACGCTAAGTGTAGTGTTTTTCAGTCGTCCATTGGTCTGCAGAAGCCTTAAGGAAAAGATCTGTTATCTGACCAGTTCTGTGTGTATATATCAGTTCACCTGTTGCTGTGGCGTCAGGTACATTGGTCATTCGATGCATATCCTATCCAAAAGGATTCAGGAACACTATCCCGCATGTCTGCATAAAGGTAGTAGTGACTGTATAAGGAGTGCAGTCATCGATTACCTTGTCATTCCATCTCAACAGACGCCTCCGGCTTCAAAGTAATCTACAGAGTCAAGGATAACCTATCGAAGGTAATACGGTATCGTCTCCTTTGTTGGCCAAAGCCCTAACCCATTCGACCTAAAGAATCAGAGTTATGGATACAGGAGAAAATCATTCAACGACCCCTACTTCTTTTACTGTGATGGCAACAACCATGTTGATTTCTTCCTTCTTGATGTGTTGTGTGTGTCTGATTTTCTATCTCATTAAAAACTTGTATCTCTTCACAACTGTTACATAACCTCATATTTTCTCTTGTTTCTATGTGCATCCTAATCAAAACTCGCTCATGAAACTATTTATCTTATAAAGCTACTACAATACACTTGTTCAATTTCTGTTCTCTTATGCACTGGCTAACATTAACCACCATTTGCTGACAGCTCGTCACTGCCACAGTCATATGAATCTTCCCGCTCCCCGCACCTAGTTTCATTTTGATTATTCATCACATTTTTGGATCCTTTTGATGATGTTAACACCCTTTCTCACTAGTTTTTATTCTTGTCTGACGAAGTTAATGTACACACAAATATGTGTGGATGGATGTCCCACCAACGACAATGGTTGGGGTTAGGCTAAACCAAGAGCCATTGAATTGGGTCCCGTTGGCTCAATGGTCTACGAGCTTGTCTTGTAACCGGAAGGTCCTGGGTTCGAATCCCAGTGGTTGCTTACTGCCGATGATTCTCAAACTAGGATAAAACAGCTCTCCAGAACTACCTGGTTTTTAATGGTTCTCTAAATGATATCAATCCGTGATCAACTCGTAAAAAACATATTTAACCCTTACAAAACAAACCATAGAAAATAGAAAAAATAATCATATTTAATTGCGATTGTACAGCTAATTGTGAATGAATTCCCCAAGTAGAGAGCCGAATCAGTTGAAAGCAATTGATTTTTGGCTAGCTACTTGGGCCAATTGCTCACATCTTAAATTAAACTCGTCGATTTTACAATCTACATCAGAGATCGAGGAGGTGAATTTCAACAGAGATTCCTTCCTTTGGAAACCAGAGTTATTCAGATCACCACACAATATGTGATCTGCTTGAGAGTGTAAATGCTAATCGAGAAGCCAAACACACAAATGCGTAAAACTATAAACTACTTCATATGACCTGTGATCAAGATTTGACCGAATAGTTCCAAAATAATTGGACACCGACTGAAAAGTAGTCATACACATATACTTCATTGTATGCCTCAATAACAAACTGATATTGTCATATTCAGTTTTCTACGACTGTGAACTTTTAGTTTAACGTAATCTGATAAAAAGTACATTCTGTATAAATTGTTTAACAAAATTAGACTAATTTTGGAAGTCTGAGTTTAAATTTTTGATCACAGTTCATACAATTTCGTATATTATACATGTTGATACCTGTGTTCATGACTCATATGGTTAGACAAAGTTTTTGAAAACAAGAGATGCCCCCCTTTATATATGTATATATATAAACCTCTGTTATTTTAATTTCGATTAATTTCCCTAAAGAAGTGCGGACCAGATTGTCGAACACAAGAAACGTTGGAATTAATCATTTCAATCAATCTCACTGAGATTTTACAAATATAATTTTTCACGAATGTTTATAAACTACTGATCTTAATCGATCAGTAGTATGCAGTCTTACGCATTTATCCTTTCTATTATGCACTTTAATCATCCATCAACTTTATGATCAAAGATGACTAAAATCTTTGAATATTTTGCATGACAATGCTATTAAATTGGTGTTTTTAATGTATGTGCAGGAGTTGGAAAGAAGCGATGAAGTTAAAAGGAAGTCATTTTATCCTATTCATCAATGTGTTCCTTTTGTTTAAAACAATTAGTCCCTTTTATAAATTTTGATAGCGTTATTAGAAGACGGAGACTGTCTGAAAAATGTGATGTATTAGCGCTATACATTCCGAACAATCTGATCACACATTTACTTGTCAAGTCAATATATATAGAAAGGTTAAATTAAACAAAGTGAGAGAAAACGGAATTAAGAATAATTAACACAAACCTTTGGTAATCCAATCAAATAAGGATTACCAAGGTAGGTTAAGAGTAATGACAAACTGTTTTTGAATACACAAGGGGGGCTTAAGTCTATGAATAGCTATAGCCTCAGCGTATTTCAGTAAACGCCCTTGACCGTTTTTATAGATGACCTTAAAGGCTGAGTTAACATCAATCTTATGGTTCATCTCGATTAGATGTTTAGCTTTGGACGAAGTTGGTAGTCTGACACCTGCATCTATTGGCTTGTCACAATTCATCTCTTTTTCTAACCATTTTGGGATATGCTCTCCCACCCTCACGTGCAAAGCGCGATTACTCCTCCCTATGTATGTATGTCCACACACACACGAAAATTGGTAAATTGTATGGGATGTAATATAATCACTTGTGCACTTTTGGGGTTTACAGTGAAGCGTATTTTTAGCTTTTTCCACAATTACAAGCTGGGCTGCATAGTAGGTTCTACGGATGATTGAATTCAATCTTTGTCTCACAATCCTACTGTTTATTTCCCCGTTATATGGTAATTCGATAAAAACCTTTTTCTTAGGGACGGTATGGAATGTAGGTTTAGAGGCTAGTTGACTTCTACACCTGTTTAAAAATTTCAAAGGATATCCGTTTTCAACAGAGTATCCATTAATATTTCGTTTTCTCTGTCCATAACATCAGCCGTGCAAATACGCTGATCCTCTTGAATAGACACTTCACCAAGCCCCTCTTATACTGTAATGGCAGAAGCTGTGAAAACTAAGGTATTGCCCTGTCCAAGTGGGCTTTCTGTAGATAGACCATCGTATTGAGCCATCACTCTTCGACTCAGAAGTATGTCTTAAATGCTAGCTGGTTGCGTTACTTCCGCATATGTAAGACTAAGTGATTTTGTACAGAGTTGAGTCTGTCTAATAGGCGACTCGCATCTTCATGATCGTCACATATCATTTGTTTGTTTACTTCGCCCAAGTTGATCAAGGGAAGCCGATTGTATGAACTATTTTATTTATTTTTATTTATTTTATTATTACAGCTTGATTCCACACTGTATTTTGGTACAAGTATGGAATTTTCAGCGTGGATATCGGTAGCCCAAATTTGCAGGCCGACCATAGATATCAAGTGTGCGTCGGCGAGGGCTCGAACCCGACCATGTGGATGGCGAGAGTCCTTACCACTGTGCCACCGACGCAAATATTTCTCTCAAGTTTGATTACGGATTAATATCAGTTAGAGAACAATTGGAACCTACCCCCTAAGAAGTACTGGAAAGATGTTTCGTCGGTCTAGTTTGAGAGTCATCAGCAGTACGTACTCTGGGGGTTTCGAAGTTAGGAGCTTCCGACTGGAAGGCAAGCTTGTAGACCATTCAGCCACTGGGACGTGACTCAACAGTCAAACTCAAAAGATAAATCAAATCCCTACAAATCAACCCTAGAAAAATTAATCTGACGATCACTAGTGATTGATTACAGGACGGAGTTTCCTGGAGTTCTGGTGAGAAGTCGTGACCAGTATGGTCTATCCAGCCGGGAGTCATAACAAATGGTCACCGATGACATTGGCTGGTGCCAGTCAAATTGGTAAAAGTTAGAACTCATAGTCCAATGAATAGGGTCCCGTTGACTGAACGGTCTACGATCTTACCCTGTATCCGGAAGGTTCTAGTTTTTTAAGCTGGTGGATGTGTACTTAAGAAAACTGGAAAGACATAGCTTTCAAGGTGTCCCTGATGGTTTTCCAATGTTTCTTTAAGTGATACCAATCCGTAGTCAAACCTGAAAAACAAATCAAATCCTTACAAGTTAACCCTTGAAAAATATATCTGTCAATTGGGTGCATTTTGAAGAATAAAATAATTCAAAGAGAATGCCTTTAAAATAATATATTCCAAATATCAAATTAACTGATTGAAACAATTAAAAACATATTGATACCATTGAACACACACACACATAAATCAACACGTAGATTATCATTATTATTATTATTGTTAATGTGAAGATGACGATCTCTTAAGTATAAACTTTTCTAATAATATAACACCGAATATAATCAATATAATTTCTACAGGTATTAGAAAGCCTAAAAACCAAGCTAAAAGATAACCTGATTTTAATATATGATTATAACTATCATCGGCATAATGCTCTTGATGGTGATGAATTTGCTCATATTGAATTGAAACATCAGTACGTTTAGTTGATGCGATTTTAGCACATTCCAATGGTGGACAACGTTGAGATTGTTTAGCACTTCCTGGACATCCAATATCACTATCACATGATCGTAAACGATATTGATAACGTGTTTGTCCACAATTCGGTGTACAACTACTCCATGAATGCCATTCTGGAAAGAAAACATAATATTTAGGATATTTTTAAAAATTTGTTTATCAGACTTTTTGTAAAACACAGTCTTCCTCACCACCCGAAAAAAGATGTATTTGTTAGTCACTAGGGGAACAGTGTTGATTCACAGGGATTTGTTTGCTTACAGGATTGGTCACGAATTGATATCAGTTAGAAAAACATTGGAAAACTAGCTGAGAGTACTTGACAGCTGTTTCGTCCTAGTTTGGGGCTCTTCATTGGTACTCACCCACTTGGGTTCGGACCCAGGACTTCCAGCTTACGATGCGATCTCATAGACCAATCATCCATTGGGATCCTATCCAAGTATGCAGAAAATTGACACACACTACTTTGCTCAAAGTGTGTGCCTTTGACTTAGAATCTAAGAACATCAGCTAGCTGTCAAAAGACACAATACATATTCTTAAATATTGATACGTGTATACGAGTAACTGCAGAACACAAGAGTATTCGATAACGAAATTTTGGATGCCCAAATCCACCAATTCCTCCCGAATGTATGAACATTTAGATTATGGAACATCACAAGAGGACAAATTCTTGCTGATAACACTGTCTGGTGCCAGTTGGGCTAAAATCACGAATTGGTAGAAGTTAGAATTCATGGGCTGCCCATTGAGGAGTCGGTTCCCAGTGACTGAATGGTCTACGAGCTGGCCTTGTATCCGGAAGATCCTGGTTTTGAAGTCGGTGACTGTGTACTTACGAAAAGTCCTAGACTACGAAGAGACAGCTCTCCAGTACTCCCTGGATAAAATTTTCATCGAATCTTTTTTTTCCAAGGTATTACTATTATTGTTCCTTTGGGTTCCTAGTGGAACACAGGGCTTAAACTGCACGTCTCCACTTGCTTTTGTCTTCTGCTGTACTTTTTACCTGCATCCATGTTTAATATATTTATGCGTTGAAGTTTCTGTAGCAGTTTAGTTAACTTTTGGGGGTGGAGCTGCTAGCACCACGCCCCGGCCCTCCCTCTTTATCCGGGCTTGGGACTGCCTAGAAAACTAGCGATCTAGTAATCTAAGTGAGGTTTTTTTCCAATGTAAAAGAGCTTTGTTTCAATAAATGTTGTAAAATGATATTTCTCCATGAAACCTACAACGTAGATTCATTTATTTAATTCAATTTTAGATTTTCCCGTCGATTGATTGAACAGAAGTTCTCTGTCTCAGGTTGAAATGTCAGCTTCTTTTGCAGATGCCTGACGATGTTTTGGCATGTAATTAGAAGTTAATTGGTGGATTATGACTAGAAGTGGTGGAATCCAGGATGCGCATTTCATCCTGTATGGAACTCGTCCGCCAACTGGATGTACCTGCATTCGGCAGTCAGTGATGAATTTAATAATTAATATGACCTGTTGCATAAGAGGTGGACCACGTTGCTCCAGCGGTCTGATGGATAACGTTTTGACTGACATTTGAAACTACGGGTATTGGGTTTCACTCTCGGTGGGAACATCATCACTCACTGAGGAATGCAGGTACATCCAGCTGGCGGACGAAATGCGCGTCCTAGACTCCACCACTGCTAGTCATCATCAACCAATTAACAATTCCGGATTCAGTTAGCATTGAATTTTACGAAATTCTTCTTTATCTAAAGTCATTCATTACGGTGGTATATTTTAAAAGACATTAACAAGGCCAAGGTTGTATTTCGTTGAATTAACCAATCAGATTAGACCTAACAAGGCATAATACTAATCTGAGGGAGTTTTCTCGCATATAGTATAGCAAACGGCACAACAGATATTCTAGCTGTTTGAAACCAGTCGACCAAACACCCTGATGAAACAGCCGAATGTAACACTTAAAATGATCATATTATTCTGAAGTATTGGTTTTGTAGGGAAGTTTGTTTGATTGCATGAAGGATTTCATCATGAGCTGATGTCAGTCAGAGAATCACTGGAAAACCTAAGAGTACTGGGCAGCTGTTTTGTTCTAGTTTAGGACTCAGGTCCCAGTGGCTCAATGGTCTACGAGCTAACCTTGTAACCAGAAGGTCCTGTGTTCGAATCCCTGTGGGTGCGTACTGATGAAGAGTCCTAAACTAGGACGAAACAGCTGTCCAGTACTCCCAGGTTTTCCAGTGGTTCTCTAACTGATGTCAGATCATGATTAAATCCTCCATGCAATCAAACAGAATCTCTACAAAGCCAATACTTGAAAATTGATCTGATGCTCACTAGTGACTGGCCCTATTCAGGTAGTTAACCTGGGGTTCTAGTGGGAAGCCGTGACCAGTAAGGTAGAGCAGGTTGAAGATGGGCAGTAACTCATCGAAGAAGACATTGCGGAGTGGTCGCGCTATGTCGTGAACTGGCAGAAGTTAGAATTCAGAGACCATTGGATCGGGTCCCAGTGGCTCAATGGTCTACGAGCTCGCCTTGTAACCAGAAGTTCCTGGTTTCGAACCCTGGCGGTGTGTGCGTAATGCAGAAGAGTCCCAAACAAGGAAGAAACGGCTGTCCAGTACTCCCAGGTTTTCCAGGGGTTCTCTAACTGATTGTATTGTTTGTTTTTTTTAAAAACGATGGGACTGTGCACAACATCACAGCTAACTTAGCCCTATAACAGATAGGTGTAAAGTAAAGTAAGGCAAATTTATTTTAATCACTCAGTCACTCACTCTTAGATTTACAATAAAACCATCACTTACCACTCCATATACCTTCTGTTACATCACAGTATAGACCAGTATAACCTTTTGGGCATTGACACATTGGTATTTGAGGAGGCCGGTCATTATCATTATTATTTACAAATGAATCAGTATACGTAAAAAGTCCTCTAGTAACATTGATACATTTCCCACCGTTTAGACATGCTCCTTGACCACATTTTCTAATAATATGACCACCAATTTCAATTGTATCCTCTTGATGACCTTCTTTCCAACAATTATCATAATCACTGTAGTCTGGATCCTTGGTATAACCAAAATTACACTGACATTGATATGTTTGACCTTCAAAACATGAGGGGGGGGGAAGGGAAAATTAAAAGCAGAATGTTTCCTTCACATTGATATAATTTATCCGTACTTCTCAGGCATGTAAGAAGCTTTATAGGCATATGGAAGTGTACAGCAGGTTGTATTACCTCTTGAGAAACAGAAAGAGAATTAGTGTTGCCTTGATTGTGGAGCACAACCTTGCCTAGATTACTAGCTCGCTGGTTTTCTAGTAGGTCTTAAGCCCGGATAAAGAGAGAGGGTTGGGGCGTGGTGCTAGCAACTCCACCCTCAAAAATTAACTAAAGTGCTACAGAAACTTCAACGCATAAATATATTAAAAATTCTAAAAACATAAACAATAACCTTATTTTTTTGCTGGAATCGGAGAAGCGAAATAATGCAGGCTGGTGAAAGCCTTCAGGAAGCCAGTCAGCCGATGTGCCGTCGGTGCCTTCGATGAAAGCAAAAATAAGGATGGGTACATGGAATGTTCGTACAGTGTACGAAACAGGAAAGGCTGCCCAGGTAGCAGCAGAAATGAGGAGATATAGAATAAAAGTGCTGGGTATCTGCGAGAGCAGATGGAATGGATGTGGTAGGTGCCAACTATCAACTGGGGAGAGAGTAATCCATTCCGGCCATCCAGAGGACAATCACGAGCACACCGAGGGAGCGACCATCATGATGTCACCAACAGCAGCCAAAGCGCTTATGCAGTGGGAACCAATCTCCTCCAGGATAATGACAGCTAGGTTCAACTCAAAAGCAAGGAAGGTTACAATCATTCAATGCTATGCGTCTATAAACGTCTCGAAGCAAGAGGAGAAGGAGGATTTCTACAGATAACATGGATGCAAGTAAAAAGTACAGCAAAAGGCAAAAAGCAAGTGGAGACGTGCAGTTGAAACCCTATGTTCCACTAGGAACCCAAGGGAACAATAATAATAATAATAGGTTGTGGAGCGCATAGGATAGTGTTTTACACAGGCATTTAGGGAATCCTTAATAAAAGAAGATCTCGTTACTAGTTAGCATCAGCTACAAGAGGTTTTCTTGTGTTAAGAAATCGTCAACACTGTTATGTCATCCACTCCACCCTATGGGGTTTGAGACTAGGAATTTCAAGTTTTGAGCGAATCGGTAAACTAAAACAAATAGACCTTTTTATAAATTTGAATAAGGTATTTAGTAGACAAATTTCGCAAAATGATATCAATCGCTTTACAATCGACATAGTTCACAATAAAATAAATTAAAATGCATGACAATTACTCAGTTATGTATAACAAAAGTACATACTAATGACCAATCATATTTAAATAGGTCAACTAGTCCATCATGGTAGGCGAAAGTTGAAGTCTATTGGCTTTTCGTACACATAGTTTCGGATATATGTAATTAATCCCCAAAGTACTTCCGTCTCCTTCAATAACCAATCATGAATTAGAGTTATGTGGTGAAATATTTGTGAAACAGTCATTAATATCGATTTTATGACCTGACATTAATAAGTGTTTTGCAATGGATGATGATGACAGTGATGGATTTCTATTCAGATTAATCGCATTGGGATTTTCTATATGATTTAGTAGCCATTTTGGAACATGTCCTTTTCAACGACCACATTGGAACATTCTGTTGGTTCTACCTATATAGGTGTCACCGCAACTGCAGATGAACTTTTAGGTACAGTTTTAAGTACAGTCTACAGAATTTCGTCTTTTAATCGTAGGTACAGGGATCGGAAATATTCGAGATGTGAGGGAAACAGATGTATAGAACTTGGAGGAGGTGTACAATCAAAGGATAAGTAGGCAAATCTAATAAAATAAAATAAGAACATTACGTAATATTGTGTGAAGTTTAATAAGATATAATTTAACGTTATATCCCATGAAATGTGACTTATCATCCGTACCCAAGAAACTACTGTACACGAGCTTGGTATTTAAAGGGGACTTAATTTCCGATATCATGAATAGAAGGTTATCACGGTCCCTGAAAAGAACATTCCTTACTGCATCTCTAAGAATAGCCTTTACCAGTCGACCATTACTGTTCAATAACCTAAAGGACAAAATCCCACAGTTGACCAACTCTATGCGCGTTTATCAATTCACCTGTTCGTGCGGAGCTAGATATGTGGGTCGTTCGGCTCGAGTTTTGTCCAATAGGGTGCAAGAAGACTATCCTACGCAATTACAAAGCGGTGGAAGTGGAGCAATAAGAAGTGCGTTCATTTAACATCTGGTTGACAATGATCACCCTGTCCCTATAGCCTCCTCCTTTAATGTCATCTACAAGGCAAAGAGTAATTTACCCAAATCACTACATACCGGACTCATCTGGATTGCTGAAGCTTTAACCATCGGAAGAGAAAAGCCAAATCTCTGTGTAAAGAAAAAGTTCTTTCAAAATCTCCAAATTTCATGGTCTTTATCTTTCCTCCATGCTAAAGTATGGTAATCGCTAATCATATTTTGGCTCTACCAATTTTTCATTTTGTCTATTCAATTTGTATACTCTTCCTTTATTACGTCAGTTGTTACTACTATTACTATTCTCACTTTGAACTCTCCCCGGTATTATTTCACTCGTTCCACTTGTCATTCTAAATCAATTCTGTTTTGCAACATTAAATTCCATGTTATCAAATTTCATACAATGTTACGTAACGTTCTTATTTTATTTTATTCGATTTGTCCACTGATCCTATAATTGCACACTCTTTTTCAAGTTCTATCCATCCTATGAATTATTCTATATATGTCATTAATTTGCTTTGCCACTTGATATTTAACTTTGGTTATAATCATGGAAAGAGATGCAGCGTAGAATGTGCGTTTGATAAATGACCGATGTCTTTGAGTTAGCTGTCAGCTGCATAAATTGATCGCTCTTTGAATGGTAGGTTAATAAAGATAGCTTTCTTTGGTACAGAAGTTGTCTTTTCTAGATGTGGTCTATCCTTACTGTGACAATTGATAAAATTTTCTGGATAGCCATTAGCCTACCATGGAATACTTGACCTATTTAAATGTGATAATTGGTCATCAGTATGTACTTTTGTTTCATATAACTGAGTAACTGTCATCCATTATTATTGTGAACCATGTTAGATGAAGATATCATCTTACGAAATGTATTTTTTTAGATGCCTTATTGAAAAGGTAAACATTAAAAAAATTGATAGGATGGTGAAACTAAAACCTGGAACTAATCTATAAAGTGATTGGTACTTGTTTTAAATCAGCCGCTTAAGAAGGTGTAGACTGTCTGATTGAGGTTCTTAGGGTGCTAAGAACCAATGGCTGGAGACAGTTCATGATACGGTCTAAAATTATTTTGTATAATCACTAATTTATTTATTGTAAAGTGTTTTTACTGGTCATGATCCATTCGGATTCTACAGCAGTGAACTGATCAGCCTTACTTGACATAATAATTTCCAATATTATTCCACTGATAATGCTATAAATTTTAGTCCGATATTAATATTACTTTTTTTATTACCATAGATTCTCAGTGGAAAATAAGACTATCCTTTTCATCTGGCTTCAAAAGTCTCCCTAGAGGCTGTCAATTCCTCATCATACGATTTTCTTCATGTTACCCTCGAAAACACGTCAGACTCTTTGCTCGCTTAGCATTTGTGTTCCACTCGACAGTCTGTATGACACAGTGTGTTATTCACCAATCTCCTTTTAGACCATTATTTCCAATCCATCTTCGCTGTATTCTGTATTTTTATTGGTTCTTGTTTGGTTTGTTTCTAGATTTTCTTATTGTCTCTATTCCCTTGGGTTCCAAGTGGAGCGTAGCGCTTCAACAACACATCTCCACTTTCTCCTATTCTTTGCTGTCCTCTTCAGCTGGTTAGTTCCACGATTCCCCATAATCTCCTACCTCCTGCCAATTCACACGATCCCCATGCCACCATCGCACGGATTACCCACTTGTCGTTTCCTATTGGGATTCCACTTGAGTGATGACCTCATGCGAGACGTCATTCAATGACCTGCTTAACGTATACCCAATCCATCTCCATTTTCACCTACATATTTGTGGAGAAATCGACTCTTGCCTGTTGGTTTGTTTCCAACCAGAGTTTATTATTGCTAATTCTATCTGGCCCACAGGTTGGCATTCTGATATTCAATATGGAGCCAGAGAAGTGGGCAACTGTTGATAAAAGTTTGCCACAGGCTGCTGGAAATGCCTTTCATGGCACTCAGTGCAATTCTCTGACCCATATGGAAGAACTGACTGACTTAACATTTGTGTTAAAATTCGAATCTTGTTCTTAACACTGAGGCGGAATGCAAAAGATTCCCAAATTGATTTCAGGTTGATCAAGGCGTATCTTAATATATGTGTAAAACTTGGGCACTGTGGTAGTAAGTAATTCCATATTAGTTTGTTTATTAAATGTATCATACAGTGAAACAGTATTGTATACTAGATGACAAGGTTTCGAACAAAATTCATCACTGTTCATAATCATATCAATTTTTGTCACACGACTTCGAGATTTGAGTTTTATAGTTTTCTTTGTTCTCTCCTATTTGTCGACGTTGGGGTAGTAGAATTTTCCAGATATCTGGGTGGACAGGTGTTGAATCATTCCTATAACACGTATTCCCTGTCAGTTGATTCGATAAACAAGGCTTCTGTATAGGGAGAGATTGATAACAGAAGCTTTGTTTATCGAATCAACTGACAGGGAATACGTGTTATAGGAATGATTCAACACCTGTCCACCCAGATATCTGGAAAATTCTACTACCCCAACGTCGACAAATAGGAGAAGACAGAGAAAAGTATAAAAATCAAATTTCGAAGTCGTGTGACCACAATTGATATGATTATGAACAATAAATTGTGTTCGAAACCTGTCTGTCTGTCTGGATTCAACATAGAACTTGGCACCAAAGTGCAGCACTTCGAGTTGCCACGTTCCAAATAGCACACAGAGGTAGACAAGAAGATGAATGAAGAGAATCAATAGAGTTTGACAAGTATAAGAGTGAAACAGAATGGGTAATGGTAGAAAGGAGTATGAAAGATTACAGAGACTGAATACATCTTCGCTGGCCATTGACAACGATTTTGAGCCATGTCACCTACTGTCTTCAGCCATTGATTCCTAGAGTCAGTCCCGAGGGCCCCAACCCGGAAGTCTGCATCTGCCTACCTGACTCAGTTTAACTGTCAAGGATTTCATGGATTGATGACATCCATGTTTTTGTTTGGCCATCACTTACTCTTTTCCAACCTGCACCTATATCAGCTAGTACTGCCCGTCGGGGGAGGCGGTGTTCGAAACCTTGTCATCCAGTATACAATACTGTTTCAATGTGTGATACATCTAATAAACAAACTATTATGGAAGGCGTATTCTGCCTTTCTGACTCTGGCTGGCTGGTAGGCTAGCTTTGACATCTTCTTCCGTTCCATCACCTGTGGTTGAAACGATGCTGGCTTCCTAGATAAGTTTATGCAGGAAGTAATCTCTCTCAAGTTTCCCCCGTTGATGGCGATTAGTGCTGGTAGTTGTTGTGGTTGTTGTTGCTAGCGGTTGTTTAGTTGTCTTCATTACCTTCATCTCCACCTTCTCTATGTTAACCTGGAGTCCTGTCTTCTCTGCCCTGGCAGCCAGTTTGTTGGTTTTCGTCTGCCTGCAAGTCTTTGATTTTGTGTAACATTAAGCATAAATTATCCACCTGAGAAATTCACATCTTTTAGAGTCTTCTTATCAGTCAGTGAGGGGTACTCCTGTCTTTTCACTCCCCGTACAATCTGACGCACGATCCAGTCCACCATAAATGTTAATATCACTGGTGATAATAGGCGGTCAGTTTGTCTTACTCCAGTATTCCCTCCAAAGGCTTCTTCGCTGAGTTTTCCATTGTGTATCACCTGACACGTGGTATTCTCCCTTATTGCCAACACTTTTTTGACCAGTCACCTCATCTTCAGCATTGTTGAACGAAGGCGGATGTTGAGGATAGCTTGAAGTAGCTTGTTGAAAATGCTTTAGGTGGTGTATGCTGTAACTCACTAAACCATATATACACACACTGACTTGACATAGCTATTAAAAATTCAGATTTTGTTCCTCATAGTGAGTGAGTGCTATAGATGTGCACACTAGTTTCAGAAGCTGACTAGATAAATGAAAAAGGTGGCTTTCTTTAAATTTTTTCCTTTGTTGATAGCTGATATTTGTCGTTATTGTCGTTATTGATTGGCTATTTTCGTCACATCTGCCAATTGGTTGGTTCTCATCTGTAGATCTTATAGTTTGTATGACATTAAACATAAATCGTCTGAAAAGTCCAGTTCTTTCAATGTCTTCTCATCGGTCCAACGTATGCCCACCTTCTTACTCCCTACAATCTATTGTATTGGTTATATCCACTCCAATGAGGAATATCATCGATGCTCGTAGGAAGCCTTGTCTTACTCTCCCCCTGAGCTTTCCTTGTGAATCACTAGACATGACGCTGATAAACGGTGGTTAGTCACTCTTATTAAGGAACTTACATTTCGTACTAACTAGCACTTATCAGTAAAAAAAAGAACATTTTTGACTTCAGAATTAATATCAAGCATATCAGTTTATGCATAGATGGATTGCATATTTTACCATTAAAATTTCATACTACTATATATTTAAAATAGTAGTTAAAAAAGCAGTACCAAAAATACACTTACCAATGGGAATACAACTGCCATAATGAAAATCAACACCACATAACCAATCACCTGAGGCTGACTTCTGATATTCATTATTATCATCTGATAATGTTGTTGTTATTATTGGCCGATCAATATCATCTTTCACAACTTGACTATGCATAAGTAGTTGTGGTGTTTTCAAAGCATTCGATAAAATCTCTTTACAAGGTTGAACTGATTCTGAACAGTCAACACCAGTAAAATATTTTGTACATTGACAATGTGGCCAAAGTGATATATCAACATCTGAGGTTAACTTTAATCGGGTAGTATTAACAAAAGTATTACTACTATAAGTATTATTATTATTATACTATCAGTAGTAGTGGTAGTAGTAGTAGTATCATTGATGTTGTTAATATTATAGTCAATAGGTTCACTAGCGTCAATATCATCCATTAATCTTAAACGATAATAACATTTATCTGTACCATTTTTACAAAATTGTTTCATATCTTCATTACATTCAATATTCCAAGTTTTACTGTGTACATTTTGTGTGCTATTCATGATGTCTGGAATCAGTAGGCAGCCAGTCAATGAATCGACAGTCTGCCATTCATATGCGTGAGATTTACATTGGCATCTGGGAATAATTGAAAATAAATAAATAAATAAATGAAGTGCAAGTTAGAATTCAAACACGATGTGAATGAAAAACTTCCACCAGAGCAGGCTGGGTTCGGCAGAAACAAGTCATTCATCGATCAAATCGCAACACTATGTATCATCATTGAACAGAGCTTGGAATGGTAGTCGGCTGTCTACCTCTCTGCCTCGATAGAGTCGATCGACAGGTGATTTAGAAACTACTTCGCTACTATGAGGTGCTGCCGACAATTATACATCTCATCCAACAGTTGTACGACAGTGCTGCATGTCAAGTAATTCGTAACGGGAAACTCATGGAATCCTTCGAAGTGAGGATGGGAGTGAGGCAAGGCTGTCTACTGTTGCCAGTGATTTTCCTGATTGCAGTAGACTGGATAATGCAACAGACAGCGGCGGGCAACGAGGAGACAGCCATAAAATAGAACCACACAAAATGCTTGGAGGATCTGGACCTCACCGATTTTTTTCCACAAACTGGAAGATACGCGAGTGAAAAGCAACAAATTGGCAGAAGAAGCATCAAAGATTGGACGTCAGGTAAACACAGAGAAAACAGAGGTGATGAAAATTCCTCACCAACAGCAACAGCAACAATCACAATAACAGACGACAATCAGCATAAATGGGAGAAATCTGAAAGAAGCAACCTCATCTATCTACCGACCTGGAAAGCACTGTTTCAACTACGGGCGGACGGAACTGATGAGAATATCAAGGTGAGGATCGGGAAAGCAAGGTAAGCTTTCATTACCCACAAGTCTGTGTGGAGGTCAAGAGCACTTGGCATGAAAAATAAGATCCGGAATGTCAACTCCAATGTGAAGTCAGTGTTACTTTCTATACGGATCAGAAACTTGGCACCACACCGTGTCACAAAGGGCACTTCGATTAAACTATAGACCTTCATCAACAAACTCACACAAAGAAAAAATTCTGGATTTTCAAGACGAATATCCAGTTTGTGCGTCTATGTTGTTCAGAGGATTTGTACGAGTCACCAAAGGCATTTTCAACAGACTGCTTCAGGCTTTTCTCAACAGCTGCCCACTTCTCTAGCTCCATACTGAAGATCAAATGGCCGGCCGGTCGGCCAGAAAGAATCAGAGAGAAGAAACTCTTATGATAAACAAACCAATCTAGGGTCGATTGCTCAACAAATATGTTGGGGAAAATCGAGGTGGATTGGGCATAAACGCTACTGAGGATGCCGTTGAATGACATCGAGCGCAGGCCATGGCTGGAGTGGAATCTCAGTAGGAAGAGATGAGCAGGTCGTAAGTGTGAGGATGACATGGATGGTTATCGTACGAGGAGAAAATGAGACATTATGGGCACTCGTGTTTCTGGTCAGCTGAAGAGACCAAGAGAAAATAGAAGGGAATGGAGATGGGTTTTTGAAGCCCTATGTTCCACTTATACCCCAAGGGAATAGCATTTTAAAAATAATAATAAATATACAGATATGTTTTTATACAGTAATAACTCACGTGAATTCTTCAGCACCTACACCACTTCCATAAGTTAAACAAGTCCCGGATACTGTATTAACTAACTGTGAACAAACATCGAATGGATCCATAGTTAATGCGATTGGTTTAAACGTTAAATTAATCAACTCTGTGATATAACTATCGTTCAGTGTAATATCTTTACGTGGACGACAAATTTTTGGACAGATACCATCGACATCATTCACTGGGGTTGGACCAATTTTTGTACATATCACCCAATTATACATCCATAAAACATATTCATAATTTGGAAAATAATCTGTACAGTCTTTAAAAGATAAAGTAGGAACATTTACTCCCTTTATGAATTTAAATAAAGCAAGAACACCAGGTGTTTGTTAAGAATAAAAATGGTACCATCATTGTTTATTTCGTCGGCTTCTCATCATCACCATTCTATTATGATATTAGTATGTGTTTCGTCTCCTTCAAAAAGAAATCCACGATATCTAGTTGACAGTCAATTGTAATATGTTCAAGAGTACATTTCGAGACCTAAGGACAAGACTGAAGAACAGTTATCTCATATATGATGCTCACTAGTGAATGGCTCTATTCTGTTAGATAGTAACCTGGGTTCTAGTGAGAAGTCATGACCATCGGGGTACGGTAGGTCAGGTGTGAGGACAAATACTCGCCAGCAATGACACTGGCTAGTGGTTGCGCCATGTCGTGGGCTGGCAGAAGTTATAATTCATGCACTGACTGGCCATTGGATTGGTTCCCAGTGGCTTGTATTCTCAAAGGTCCTGGTTTCCAACCCTGGCTGTGGTGGGTGCGTACTATTAGAGAGTTCTAAACTAGGCTGATGGAACACCTGTCCAGTACTCCCATCTTGTTTTCTAATGGTTCTCTAACCGATGTCAGCTCATGATAAAATCCTGTGACCAATCAAACAAAATCCCTACAAAACCAATACTTGAAAATTCATCTCATATATTGGAAGACGCTGCCACTTACAATCAGGCCATTCTTCAAGGTTAATCGGAACTCGTGAAACAGAAACTTGTAAACATTTTAAATACACACAAGAGTATATAATACCATTAAAGGTCGTATCTTAATCAGTTCAAACAAACGGAACAAGAGAAAATATATGGAATAGAGTGATGGAAGTTTTCGGTAGCCCAAGTTTTAAGCAGTAGCATCCGCTACAGTATTACCACGACTATTACTTCTACCCCTACCAGTACTACTGTGATGAGAGCTGACTGCAAACCAAAATTGTAGACAACAATTTACGTCGTTGTTCACATTCCGAATCACTGTCATGAGAAAAACAATATTAAAGCTTAACCTTGAGAAGATCACCAACCAATCAGAGCGGAGTTAACGTGTGTGAATATGATTCGCAGACATATGGCTTTATTTTCTAGGAAGCAGCCAGAAAGAGGTTATAGAATAACCTTCAACAAGAAAACAACCAATTAGAAGAGGTTGCTTTCTCCGCTAACAATAATGTACATAAAAATCGATAAATTCCTCTTGATTTTCTCAATAAACAATCTGTAGCCTGGTCCTTGTGGGTAAAGTTAAATTTTCGACACCACTAACAACCAATCAGCAAACGACCCTGAACGGACCAATCACATTAAAGAGGCATTTATGGTAAATGGAAACATATATTTATAGGAAAAAGCATAAAATAGGCTAAAACGGTTACAAGGGGTATCTTTCTCAAACATGTGAGAGAAACATGTCCCAGTTTAGCATGGAACTGTCAATGGAGAAGTTACACCACATCCTGTACATATATTCATCTAAATGACTATAAATGAGATCCATTTATAACCCTTCAATGGAATTCGTATGATTCCTCGTAGGCGAAGTTCAACAATAGTGTCCCAGGAGTGCAAACGCTCAGTGACGTTGAACGCATGTTAGTCGTTGGCTAACGGCACCTATCATTATCGTATCTGAAATATCAACGCTATTCAGTAAATAAGGAGCAAGTTTCACCCAGATAACGCTTTTAATTACTGTTTGGACAATTTGTTAATATCTTGTTAGGGTTAGAATAAGGGTTAAGTTAAATATTGTGGTTAGGGTTACGGTCATAATTGGGATTAGGGTTTAGGCTTAGGGCTAGTGTTAAATTTAGGGTTAGGGTCAGGAATATGGTTGGGGTTGCAATTAAGGATAGATTTGTAGTTAATGTCGTTTATTTCAGTTTGTTTTATTATCCTCATTTTCCTTGTATGTAGTCGTTGATCCTCTTACTGAAACCATAGTAATTTAACCAAGGGCTTTGGAGAGGACTACACAGCAAGAGAAGAGAGATGAACGATTCACAACACAGCACATCTCCAGTCACTTCGGTGAATACATCTACAGAAACTAGTCCAACTTAGCAACTGATACTCCTTATTTTAACTGGGACGTATTTTTAAATCATGTCAGAGAAAGATAATCTGTTTAATGGGCTTTCATGCATTTCCTTGTGAATTTACGTCATTTTTTGTGCAAAAATTCCTCATTTTTATGGTTGGCCGGCTGAAGGTCACTCGTGCGTTCGCATCCCTTGGGACGCTATTGTAGAACTTTGCCACCTCGTAACGGGATTCACCCAGCAAACACGTGATATTATCTATTTTCCACGAAGCAATATCTCTGTAATGCTGGTACTACAGGACTGTTGAGACGAGACTATTCTCCGTCTCAGCAGCTGCTGCTCTCATCGGCTATTTCAACACCCAGTAGTTGCAGATACACAAAATCTGAGTTAGGGAGAGATGCAACCTAGCGAAAAAGTTCCTTCGAAATATTAAATTTATCAGCACACCCTCTCTAATGTTAGCATGCTTCAAACATATAGCACAACGATGAACAAATCCATCAGTTGATCTGCTATAGCTTTTTAAAGTCATGATACCATGACACGAACAATTTCGCTCCTAAATCCAGGCAATACTGGAAAACACTGTCCTCTTCGAATTGCAACCGTAACCTTGTAAGGTTAGGCATTAGAAATGAATCAATCTCTATAAAACATTGAACTACGTTCGTGAATCTCATTGGATAATTCGACGTTGTTCACTGATTGGTAGATAGTGATGTCGAAAGTTTAACTTGCCCCCCCCCTTGTCTTCTGTGGTTACAGTATTACTAACACTTTTACACAGATATCAGTTGTTGGAAATTCTGGATTTGAAATATCAGAACTAACAAACAAACACACAAACAAGCACACACAAAATAAAATCAATAAATATTACATTTTTTTCTTATAATTGAACTTACTTTCTTTACAACTTGCTCTAATAGCCTTAAATATTCTATAAATATCAATAAATAATGGAAGATACATTCTTGGTTGAAGTCGTTCACCTAATACAACATTAGTTTCACTTATATTACTATTAGATGATGATTCTTCAACGTCTTCATTCGTAGGTACTAATAAGTTTCTCCTTTTCTTCTTCTTTTTAGGTTGATCAGGTACAGAAATATTTGTAGTATTATTATTATTACTGATGGTAATATTTGTATTAGTGCTATTAATGGATAGATTAGGCAGAGTAATATTAGTACTATTATTATTATTATTATCATTATTAGTAGTAGTACTGGTAGTATTAGTACTGATGCTAATAGCCATAATATTTTTATTATTATTGATCGGTAGGTTGGGTGGAGGATTATCATCCATGCTTGGTACATCTGCTGTCTGATTTAATTCTTCTCCTTCTTCTGCCTGTGCTTCTGCCGTTTTTCCCCCTTCCCCTTCTTCTTGTTCTTGTTCTTTCTCAACGGTTACTTTACCTTCGGTGGTGACAGTATCACCAGTCGCATTGATGATGGTAGGGGTGGTGATGGCGGTGGTGTTTACTTCTTCAGATATTTGATTATCATCCTCTTCTGTTTCATTGTCATTAGCATATTTTGTTAAAGTTTTATATAATAAATCGAATAGAGTGAAATTTTCTGATAAGATGTACTCTGTGGACGTTGGAGAAGAAGAAGAAGAAGAGGCGTCGGATGATTCCTAAAAAGTGAAATAAAATATAAAAATGAAAATAATAAAATGAAAAACCAATACTTGAATGTCGATGAGATGCTCCCTAGCGACTGGTTGCATTCAGTTACCTGAGATTCTAGTGAGAAGTTGTCACTAGTAGGGTACAGAAACAAATACTCACCGAAGACTTCATACAATTGGTTCCCTTGATAAATTTCGATAAATAGAAAGGAAGATGAAATTTGCAGTATAAAATGATATCATCATTCTATTTCACAGGTTCTCATCAGCTGCAGACTGCCTGAAATTACAATGGTTATATAAATGATAATAACAGGCTTTAATGTTTGTTTGGTAGTAGAGAAGAGATACTATAAAATTAACGCATCCGAAATGAAAGCATTACAATGTTTTTAGTTTAAGTTTTTATCATCAATTTATGCGTTTTTAAAGTTGAAAAGAAGTGGGAGGGTGATATGTATCCATATATATATATATATATGTTGGTCTCTCTTTCTGTCTGCTCTCTTAGTCTGTGACCATTTCACTTTGATGAACCTGTCTCCATTAACAATGTATATTCCCCTTATATTGTATATATAATATTAGTGTTTGTTGACAGTCCGTTGCTTGGTGACATATATCCATATTATATGTGTGGTTGTTGACATGTCTGCTATATTTTGCTATGTATATATGGATCGTCATAAAGAGCATCTCAAACAAACTTCAAACCTTCATAAACAACTGTCTCCGCTCAATACTCAAGATCAGATGGCCAGAAAAGATCAGCAACAGGGATCTCTGGCAATGAGCGAACCAATTAGGAACCGATTGTGAAACAAATAGGCAGAAAGAAATGGAGATGGATTGGCCATACGCTGAGGAAACCATCAAGTGACATCACTAGACAAGCCCTCGAGTGGAACCCGAAAGGGAGGCGGCGAGTTGGTCGTCCAAAGGTGACTTGGAGGAGGTCATGCGAGGAGGAGATGAAAGCATGTGGACAGACCTGGAGCAGGGTGAAAAAGTTGTCAGAAAACCGAAGTCAATGGAGGTGCGCAGCTGAAGCCCTATGTTCTTCTAGGAACTAAAGGATACAATAATAAATATAATAATAATATATGGATCGATACTCCATTATAATTAGCCATTCATGTTAAGACTGTCTATTGATTTGTTCACACACTTGTCTGGACATTCATATATATTTCGCTCTCACAATCCAGTGTGACACTTTGGTGTGATACCACTTATTGCTTCTCCTTGTGTTTGGAAAAATAGAAGTATCATCGCAAACTAGTGGTCTTCTGATTTCCGCCTTCTTGCGTCAGGACTATTAAATTCTCGACCAGTACATAACAATAATTTGGCGACGAGTACATAACAGAGGGGTAAGACAGAAAACAGAAAAAATTGATTAACATAACAATGTTAGCTTGTAGGTTCACATAGCAACTCAAGAAACAAAAGCGGTTACAGTTTATGAGATTAAGATTTGTTCAGTAAGTTGAGAACATTGAATTAGATTAATGTAATCAAAATCAAAATTCAGTTACCAAGGGAGTGAGAGCTTTATCACACTCTCTTTCTGTATGCATAAATCTGGTTTAAATCATTTGATTGCGATCGCTTCGGCAAATCGTAATAAATTTGCTGTCCTTCGTCTATTTAATATTTTGAAGGACTTAGAAGTCTCTACGAGATGTCCGGTATCAACAATATGTCTGGTAATTGCACTCTGGGAATATCTGCTTCCTTTCAGGCACAGGTTTTTGGGAATATGTTCAGAAAACCGGATAGAAGCACTTCTTTCTGTCCTTCCAATGTACTTGCTCTCGCAAGTGTGTGTAAATTCATAAACGCAATTTGGGGGTGACATCAGTAGGATATTTATCCAGTTTTGATTGGCTTATAGAAGGAGTGGTGCTGTATACTGTTATGAGTTTTGCTGCTGGGAAGATTCTATTTATTGCACCTTTCAGTCTTTTGCCAATCTTTTGTGACACTGCATCTTCTTTGAATGGGAGACAAATAAACCCTTTTTTCTTTTCTACAGTGGGATGCTTTTCTTTCTTATCTTTTTCTCTGATATACTTCTGTATAAATCCCTTAAGGTATCCATTTTCCCTTAGGCATTTCTTGACGAAATCTAATTCTTCTTCGACCTTGTTTGGTGAACATAGCTTCCTGGCTCTGCCGTACAAAGTCCTCACTAATCCACGTTTGTAGGTTATGGGACAAAAGCTATTATAGTGGAACAAAGGAAATACTGGGCTAAACACTTCAGAAGATATGTCCAGTCCAGGTTTATTTTCTATAGATGGACTTTTTGATCGTGTCTTCATTTATTCTTTCTACATTTAGATCCAGGAAATTGAACTTATTACTATGTTCATATTCCATGGTGAATTTGATATTTGGGTGGATTTTGTTTAGGCCATCATATAATGCCGATGCGTGATCTATGTCGTTGCAAACAACAGACGTATCATCAACATATCGGCGATAGTAGGTTGTTCCATTGATAGCAGAACATAGTTGTGTCTGTTCAAGGTAGCCCATGAAGATAGCAGCCAGGATAGGTTCTAGAGGCGAACCCACCGCGACCCCATCAATTTGTCGTTAAAGTTGATTGTTGAATTTGAATCGTATATCTTTTGTACAGAGGAGCAGTAGTCGCTTTATCTCTGTTTCCGGTAGTGGTAGTAGATCCGTTTGTTTACAGATGATATCAGTTGTTTCCACCAGTGGTACGTTTGTAAACAAGGAGATCACGTCAAACGATTCCATGATTTTTTCTGATATATCAATATTGTCAACTTCCTTGGAAAATTGATAGTTATCGTTCAGGCTATGGGTTGCATATTTAATTCGAATTGGCTCTATAGAATCAGCCAGCCATCGAGCTAGTAGTTTGTGGCATGGTGAGTCAGTCAATCATTGACAAGATTGGTCTTAAAGGCACATTTGCTTTATGGATTTGAATATCGATGAGATGTTCACTAGCGACTGGCTATATTCAGGTAGGTAGGTAGGTAGTTACCTGAGGTTCTAGTGAGAAGTCGTGACCAGTAGGGTGCAGAAGGTCGGGTGTGAGAACAAATACTCAGCAGCAATGACATTGGCTAGTGGAAGGCGCCGTATGTCATAAATTGGTAGAAGTTAGAATTCATGCACTGACTGGCCATTGGATTGGATCCAGCGGCCGATGAATGGTCTACGAGCTGACTCACCTTGTAACCGAGACGTCCTAGGTTCGAAACTCAGAGGGTGCGTACTGTTGAAGAGTCAAATTTAAGGTGAAAAGCTGTCCAGTACTCCTAGAATGAAAACGCCGACCACAAAAAATGCAGAATGCAAACGCAATGCTCAGCTTGGATAGAAATCATAAAATTATGCTTTAAAACATACTTCCAATTCAATACTCAAATATATGAACAGATAAAAGGAACACCAATGGGATCGCCCATATCAGGATTAATAACTGAAGCCGTCATGCAAAGATTCGAATTAATAGCTCTACTTATAATTAAACCGAAAATCTAGGTACGTTACGTTGATGATACATTTGTAATAATTAAGAGAAATGATTTAAAATATACCCATAAATTAATAAACAACATATTTGAAGACATCAAATTCACAATGAGAGAAGAAGAATTAGATAACAAAATCCCATTTTTAGATGTCTTAATCAGCGGAACCAACACACGAAGTTTAGAAACACAAGTATATAGAAAATCAACGCCTACTGATCGAATACTCAACTATACTAGCAATAAACCAATTACCTATAAAATTAACTGTGTGCAGACATTGTTTAAAAGAATTCAAACACACACTGTAGCACTCCAGTGTTGAAAAGAATGGAAGAAAAATACCTACAAACGGTCTTCAAAAAGAATCGATATCCGCACAATTTCATCAAAAATTGTTTAAGATTGATTCACAACACCAACAAGAAACCATCATCAAAGACTACAAGAAAATTCACCCTACCATACATGGAAAAAATATCTCTGAAATAACAGTTAGAATACTGAAACCGTTTGATATAGGATATAACCAGTTAAATCACTTAATTCGAAATTATGCAAACCGAAAGACCCATCCAACAGAAAAAGGAGATAAAATTAATACCATTTACAAAATAAATTGCATGTATGATCTGTAACAAACATCACATCGGTGGTCGAAGTGGGCGTCCCCTTCGAATCAGATTATAGGAACATAAATCAGCCGTGAAAAGACAGGATATATATATTCCTGTTTCATATCAATGCATATAGACAATTATGGACATCAGTTTGATTGGGATAATGTCGAAATCCTAGATAGAGGAAACACCAAAAGTACAAGGGAATTCTTAGACGCCTGGTACTCACTCAAATGAATATGCTATTAACAGACATGTTAATATAGACCAAATCTACCAACTAATAAAAATTAGATTATGTTACAAGAAAGTTTAAAGTCCAAGTCAATAGAAGATTATCAATACATGTGTAAAGATGGTTACCGGGAGACGCAATTTGTATCACTCATATAAAATTTCAGTCATTTCAGTTAATGCTGAAAATTGCGCTGAAGATGTTGTGCAGGAGGACGACGAAAGCTCCGCAACTGAACCAATCAACTCAGAAAACACTATTAAATTGCGAATGCAGAGTCTTCTGGTGGTCTGTGTAGACTAAAACTGGTAATATCCTTTGTTTATTTCGTTGGCTTTTCATCAACTGCTTGCAACTCTAAGACATTATTCAGTTGATGCACAGATTCGAATTTCCAACACCAATGTGAAGTCAGTCAGTCAGTCAATTTTCCTAATATAGGTCAGGAAATTGCACTGCGTGTGCGTCATGAAAAGTATTTCTAACAGAGTAGTGGTCTACGGACTTATATCGATAGCTGCCCTCATCGCTGAGTGGCTGCATACTGAAGATCAAATGGCCAGCCAGCTGGCCAGAAAGAATTAGGAACAAGAAGCTCTGGGAGGCGACAAACCAACCACAAAAGAAGGCTTTAAGAATATTTGATTATATACCTCTCGCATACGCAATCTGCGCAGAATTGCTTAGACAACCATCCATCTTACTGTCGGCATCTTAATAACCCTTACAATAGTGTATGAAACTTACAGAAATGAGGCAACTACTTTCACGCTTATAGTGTAATGTAATTTTACTAAGTGTTTTGGTTAAACAGGGGTAGAATGCTCACTGGTCACTTAGGTCATTCAATTTCGATTTCCGCCCGACAAGTTTCTACACTCCGTCTAACAGGTCATAAACATAGAAAAGATGGAAAGTTAGGCGTGAGAATAGAAACCTCACTGCATAGAAACAAACGGTGCCAGCAATACTGAAACTTCAAAGTTTGAAGGTCTATGTTCAACTTGAAATGCAAAGGAACGCCAAGAATAGATTATTATCGGCCTTATAGTATTCCGATGATAATAAGCGAAAAATTCGTTGAAGACGTTACTCGTCAGCCTAATCTCTTAACTTTCAATTATTAGATAAAGAAGTCACATTTGCAGTTAGTTGTATTGTAATTGTAGAGAAACTACCAAATGATGCCATGATCTCATGAAATTCGTCTTCTAAGTGCCTTATTCAAATAAATTTTTTATTTTATTTATTTTTTTTATTTTTTGATTACAGCTTGATTCCACACCGTATTTTTGGTACATGTTTGGAATTTTCAGCGTGGATATCGGTAGCCCGAAATTTGCAGGCCGACCATAGATATCAGGTGTGCGTCGGCAGGGGATCGAACCTCGGACCATGTGCATGGTCGGTGAGAGTCCTAACCACTGTGCCACCGACGCACAAAGAAACAAAACAAACTGAAACATTTTTTTACAGTTGGTTTGTAAGGGTTAGTTTCGTTTTTTACAAGTTGATCACGGATTGATATCAATTAGAGAACCATTAATATCCACCACTGGAGTACTGGACAACTGTTTCATCCTAGTTTGGGAATCATCAATAGTGCGCACCACCAACTACCAGGGTTTGAATCCAGGGCCTTCCAGTTACAAGGAGAGCAAGCTCGTATACCATTCAGCCACTGGGGCCCGGTTCAATGGACTGTCCATGAATTTTAACTTCTACCAATTGGAACACTGGCGGTGGGTGTGTACTGCCGATGATTCCCAAACCAGGATGAAATAGCTGTTCAGTACTCCCTTTGGCTGGTTTTAAATGGTTCTCTAACTGATATCAATCCGTGATCAACTCGTAAAAAACGAAACTAACCATTACAAACCAATTATAGCAAATTAATCTGATGCTCGCTAGTGACTTGCCACAGGATGAAGTTTCCTAGAGTCCTAGCGAGAATTTGTGACCAGTGAGGTCCAACCAGATGTCATGTGTGAGGATGGATGTCGCACTGATGACATTGCTGGGTGGTCACACTAAATCACGAATAGGTAGAAGTTAAAATTCATAAACAGGTCAATGAATCGGGTCCCAGTGGCTAAATGGTATACGAACCAGCTTGCCTTGTGACCGGAAGGTCCTTGGTTCGAACCCTGGAAGTGTGTGCGTACTGCCGATTACTCCTAAACTAGGATGAAATAGCTATCGAGTACTCCAGTGCTGGTATCAATCCGTGATCAACTCGTAGGAAAAAAACTGAAACAAAAAAAAAAAGAAAATAACCCAACTTACTTCAATATTCAACACATCATTCTTTTGAAATTCAATATTCAATATTGGTGAAAGTGTTTTCTGTGGATCAGGGAAACCATATTGTGAATAATATTTATATGGTGCATTTAATTTCCATAATGGTACAAATATGGTCCATGATAAGGAGTAAATATACTTTCATTATATGGTATCATTATTCTATCTTCATCGCGTATTTTTAATAAAATATCAACGAATTGGCTTAATGTCACTTCAGTCGTTGAACAATATTCGGAATTTAGTAAATATAACCATAGAAATAGTGTTACTAATAATTTTGACATTATTGTTATTATTACTATTAAATTTTATCTACTGAAAATTAGACGTTTATGTAACAGTATAAGAAAGAGTATAAAGCATGCTAATATAATTCGAAATTTATTGATTTTTTTCTTATTGATCGGCATATATTTTTGAATTGCTGACTAAGATTATTAATAATAATTATATTATTATATCCTTTAATTCCTAAGGAACATAGAGCTTCAGCTGCGCATCTCCATTGCGTTCGGTTTTCTGCCAACTTTTTCACCCCACTCCAAGTCTGTCCACACGCTTTCATCTCCTCTTCACATGACCTCCTCGAAGTCACCCTTGCACTGACGACCAACTCACCACTTCCCTTTCAGGTTCCACTCGAGCAGTGGCTTGTCTAGTGATGTCACTTGATGGTTTCCTCAGTGTATGGCCAATCCATCTCTATTTCTTCATGTCTATTTGCTGCACAATCTGTTCCTGCTGTGTTGGTTCGCTCATTGCCAGAGATCCCTATTGCTGATCTTTTCTGGCTGGCCATCTGATCTTGAGCATTGAGGGGAGACAACTGTTAATGAAGGTCTGAAGTTTGTTTCAGATGCTCTTCATGACGCGCCTATTCTCTGATCCGCACAGTAGTACTGACTTCACATTGGAGTTGAAAATCCGGATCCTATATTCGTTTTCATGCTGAGTGATGTTGACCTCCATACAGACTTAAGAGTAATGAAAACTTGTTTTGCTTTTCCGATCCTCACTGCTTTGATATCCTCATCAGTTCCGTCTACCTGCAGTTGAAACGATGCTTCGCAGGTAGGCAGGTAAGGGAGGTTGTTACTTTCAGGTTCTTCCCATTTATGCTGGCTGACTGTTGTCTATTGTTGTTGCTGTTGCTGTTGGCCAGGAATCTTCGTTACCCTTGTATCACCTTTGCTATCTTCACCTGAAGTCCTATCTTTGAAGTTTCTTCTATCGCCAACTCGTTGCTTTTCAACTGCATATCTTCCAGTTTGTGGGAAATTAGACATATGTCATAGGCGAAGTTCAGATCCTCCAAGTTTTTTGTGTCAGTCCATTTTATTCCTGTTTCCTGATTGCCCGTTTTCTGTCGCATTATCCAATCTACTGCAATCAGCAAGATCATTGGCGATAGTAGACAGTCTTGTCTCTCATGATATTATCATGAAAACACATTTCGATACTCGGTACAGAATAACATGAATGCATTTTATCCTGTTGGTTCTCATCATCTGTATACACCCTATAATCTTTAATAAACTGAAGTCGGAGTTAAATTTAACATACTTTTGTCATCAATAAATACATTACAAGAGTATCATGGTGAGATAAGCATCAGGATGACAAGGTAGCTGAAGTGTAAGCATACTTTGATTGGACACTAGTAACTAGTGCGACGTGTCTAGTCATTTGTTTGGTGCAGAGTGAATTCTGCCAGTCAGGTTTCGCAATGTGGCCACCATGCCACCAGGTAGCTCGCGATCATGGTGCACATTGATTTGATGATATTTGATGATTGGAGGCAATCAGCCACAATAAGGCTTGACTAGACCTAGGTTTCGTGCTAGTTGGAACTCATCAGCAAGGGATTCATGTGCCTTCTGAGATTCGAACCCGTGTCAACCAGTGCTACCTTCAGTCGGAGACGTTACCACTAAGTTATTTAGGCTCATGATTGACCTCCTGTAGGACTTTATTGGATACTGCGGTTGATCACTAGTAACTAGTATGATGTATGTAGTCTTTTCTCTGGTGTAAGTATATATACAATCCTGTAAGAGAGAAGTATTTTATAGAATTAAGCCGATGATCCTATGAGAGTCATAAATAAAAGATTAAACGCAGCCCTGTCCAGCACGTAACCTGCAGCAAAACTAGTCCCTCTGCTTCGAATGTCTTCCTCATGGGTACAGTCAAAGATGGACAATTACCCCTCATATATGTTACCTCCAAATGTCTATACCAAATCACATCTATCTGTGGAAGCAGTTACGTTGGAAGAATCGAAAGAAGGGCCTACATCAGATTCTTCGAACATGCACCAAGGAGATTCCGGTTAAAGGGACGAAGAAGTTTAAACCCTTCAACTACCTGATAGACATTGGACACCGAGCAAATGTGCTGGCATCAATCAAAATAGTTAACAGACAAAACGACTCAAGTCTTCTTCGGTTCTCTGACGCTATCACAATAAAACGTTTGAAACCTGACCTATGAGTGTAAAAGCAATCTGTAGTTGAACAACAGTAACTCTGGTGACTCATCCTTTGATAACTCTTTGTTTTCTAATTTCATTAACTTATCTTTTCAACCCCACACCCACTCTTTTTCATTTGACTTCTATAAAAGATAATGTTTCTTGACCTTATAAGTTCTATTCACCATATTACATCATCACCTTTCCATCTGACGTCTTTCACACTAACCACGTAACTGTTACTAGTTTTTTGTTACCACCCCAACAACAAACTTGTCAATTAGTTTTCTAGAAACTTCTCTCTAACAAGATATACATATATATATATATATATATATATATGTACATACTTTAACTTCAGCTACATTGTCACCCTGATGTTTTATCTCGCCATGACACTCTTACACTATTTTTTGGATGTGGTTGTGTTCTCTGAGCTGGATAGTTAATTTGCGAAGTTTTCATTGGCCTGCTAGGCAGCATCTCACTTCAGCACATACACTTCAATTTGTTGAAGTGAGCCTTTAGATTTCTGCATGAGTTTATTAGTCATCTTTCCCGGTGGGTGACCTTGAACGTGAATAGTTGTTTTAGGCTAGGCTACTTGTTTTGGAGCTAATTGTTTTGCTTGCTTGAACTTTGACCTTTTGTGTGTGAGATTTCCTTCTTATCGGCCGTTAAACTTTGTTTATCTTGATGTGTCTATTGATTGATGATTCACTGGAATACCGGACATGCTTCTAAAAATTCTCTAGCATTCTTGTTGTTTCCTATGTCTAATATTTGAACGCTGGTTGTCCCAGTCGGACTGATGCCCACAGTTGTCTGTATGTAGTGACATGAGGGAGTGGATGCCATGTCTTTTGATAGCTAGATTATGTTCATAGATACGAAGACGAAGAGGATGGGAGTCCAATTCGGCGAATGTAGTGTTTTTTCGCAGTAGTTACAATTTATTTTCTAGATGATGTTGACTTTATCTCCTTTCGTTGTTGAGTCTTTTGGTTGACACACAGCCAGCTGAGTGGAGTGATTTTTCTGGTTTGTGTGCGGCATAAATCCCTAAAGGTTTGAAGAGTTTCGCAGTGATTTCTGAGATATCCTTTATACATGGCAGGGCAATTTTCTTTGTGTTTTCCTTGGGGGGGCTTGGGTTTGATAGGTTGGTTTGGGGGCACATGACTTTTGATGAAATTCCTTGGAAGACGTTCATGATATATCTTTCTTCAATTTTCCCTAATGTGGGAGTGCTGTAATTAGTGGGTCAGGAGGGATGGGAGTTAAATTTTACACTGACTTTTATTTATTAAAGATGATAGGTTGTATGCAGCTGTTGAGAACCAACGGGATAAAATGCACCCATGTTATTCTCCACTAATGTTTGTTCTTTCCCTTCTCAAATTTAAAAAAGGGAACTCGTGTATGACTTTTTGATACAGTGATGACGATCAAATGATATCACATCGGCAAATTAGGATCACGAAAATAAAACAGGTGATTATTACTCTTAAATCAATGTGGAGAACTACACAGCACTAAGTAGAAAGAAAAAGATTCCAATATATATATTTTTTTGAATACTAATGTCAAATTAGTCAGTCCTTCAGAGATGGTTCTGAGATTTGGTACGCTGACAAGGCAAGCCGAGGCAATACTAATGCAATGATGGTAATGAGTAATGGTTTAGTGAGTGTAACTCAAGTCATAGAAAGGTAATGTATGAAATATTCCCATATTGAGTCATAAGAAAATGGCACAAGCAGCGAAGAAAATTTTCCTTCTTCAACGATTCATTTTCATGACCTGCTGTACAATCGTAATTATAATTAACACAGAAATTTTTTTTGGACCAATCAGATACTGGGAAACTTTGTCCTTGGAAAATTCTACTACATAATGTAAGGTGTTAGAAGGGATGGTTAATTATAAGTTAGAAAAGAGAGAGAAGTTGGCATGGAGTGATAAGTGTGAGATAATGACTAATCAAAAAGCTCGTGTCAAATGGACAGGAACTAGTGGAAAGGCTATAAAGTAATTTTGTATAAAATCTGTATGATAAAGTAATGTTGTTAATTAAAGAGTAATAGAGTGGTAATAAAATGTGGATGATGGGAATATTAATAATAATAAAAGTATTAACAATAATAATATTAATAATAATAATAATAATAGTGAACTTACATAATGAATGAAAGAAGCAAAATTGTAGTAAGAACTTCACTCTGCCCATGGTAGGGCGAAAGAATGTATGTACCGCTTTTGAATGCAGAGGTTTGGTTTCAGATCTCAAATCGCTAATGCCTCAGCCATGTACAGATGGCGTGTCGGAAGTCCCTTTGCACAATATTGAGTGACTCTTTGTAGCACTTTGAAGCATTCATACGGGGGGCTCGATGTCCGAAGATGACAAGGTGATCGAGGATAGAGATACCGCTATTCTTCTTTCCTTCTCTGGTCAACCAAGATGGACAGTGTTCCAGAATACGTTTGTGGACTTGACGTTGCGTACGGCCGATATACTTGGCTCCACACGAGCAAGTAAATCGATAAATGCAAAATGAGATAACCAAAAGAGGTATCTTATTCTTAACGTTAGACTGGATAAATTGTCTGCTGGAGAATATGACGCGTAAGCTGGCTGTTGGAAATGTCTTCTTCAGAA